TGGAGCCTGATGTTAATTTGCAACTCAAAATATATGATGAAGTGGCAATTTATAATAGAGCTCAAGGTCGGTTTGGTGATGACTTAGCAATTAAATCAAGGGATTCGAAATCACCTGGTAAGATCTCTTGTATGATGTTACTTTATTTTTCTTGAATAGCTTTATGCTTTCTATTTTTTTTTAAAATTTTTCGTTTGTTGAAATTATTATTATTTTATCCTTTGTAGTTGCCTTCCTTTGTCACTTGCTTAATAATTAATTGTAATAATTTTAAATTGACTAATCAAATCAGGTTTTGCATTTTTATAGCTGAATGGTGGACTTTGTTTGGGCATTCGGCACCAAATTTACAAAAGTTGGCTATCAAAATCTTGAGTTTGACATGCAGTGCATCCGGATGTGAGCGTAATTGGAGTGTATTTGAACAAGTAAGTTTTTATTTTTATTTTCTATTAATTGAATGAATGAATTAAAAAGTAAATTTTTTTTAACAAACATATTTTCCAAAATAAAGAGAAAGTAAATTCTGTTTTTTTCTTTTTCTTTTTTTTTTTTCCTATTTCAGATTCATTCTAAGAAGAGAAATCGACTTGACCACCAAAAAATGCATGATTTGGTTTTTGTAAAGTATAACCAAGCTCTTAAAGCTCGTTATAATATGCGAGACGAGATTGATCCTATTGTTCTAAATGAGATTGATTTCGATAATGAGTGGTTGGTTGGAGAAAGTGGTGAAGTTGAAGATGCTCATAATGATTTGGTTTTTGAAAATGATAATCTGACTTGGGGAGATGTGGAGAGAGCATCAGGGGCAAGAGAAATTAGAACTTATACTAGGGGACAAGCAAAAAAAAATACCACTGCAGCCTTCACCTCTCAAATTCCAGCATTAACTTTTAAAACTCCAGCCACAACCTCTAGTGTTGATGCAATTTATGCTACTAGAATTAGTGAAAAAGCTCATACTTTATTAGATCTTGAAAAGTCAGAGGAGGAAGAAGAGGAGTTTGAGCCTGGTGGAACAAGTTAGAAAAACAAAGATGATGATGATTTGGTGGCTGAGCAAGAAGAATTCGAAGCAGAAGAGAGTGATGAAGATTATTAAACTCTTGAATGATTTTTTGTTTTAAAGTTTTATTATTTGACTTATTTCTGAATTGATCTTGTTTGATTTTTGTACTCTTTAAGTATTTTATTGTATTGTTTGACTATTATAATCTATGATTTTTATTTGTTAAAACTTGATAATATTGTTTTTTATGATTTTTGGTAATTTTTATAAACTCTTAGGTTAATTTATGCTTTTTATTACTAGATTTGTCTCTTATTTTAATTGTTAGATTTATCTTTTAATTTTTTTATTAAATACCTGCTATTTTTCAATAGCGACCGCTACGCTACCCGCTACGTTATCATAGCGGATTTTGTCCTTTCCGCTATATGCCGCTATCCGCTATTGATAACACTGAACCTTACTAACATTTTAGTATTTAAAAATTATATTAAATTTTAATTAATTTAAAATTAAATTATATAAAACTTCATAAAAAATAAATTTTTAACATCTATTTCTTCATTTACAATATTTAAAATCAAAATTTTATTTTAAAAAAAATTAAATACTTATGCTTGAATCAATAAATTATTTGTTGACTTATATTTAATGCAAGACAGTTATTATTTTCCCTTTTGTTGTGCATGTTCTCTGCCACTCAGGTGCTACAAGTCTAGTGATACTGACACAGGATGCGTAACGCGTTCACCTGCTCGTTTAGACCTACAGTCCTACACAAATTCTCTCATTTTCTCACACTTTCTTCCCTTCCGAACGCATAATGCACTACAAAAGCCTCCACAAATTCCTCGCCAACTTTTCCTATAAAAACTTTCTCAGAGAAAATTTCCGCTTCAGCTAGCTTTTTAGTTTCTTCGACTGTTCCCTTCATCTTGTAGAGCTACTTAAAGCGTGTATTTTACTAACAGAACTAAACATTGTCTGGTTTTTTTAATATGGGGAATATTTTAGTAACCGAACTTCGATCTACTTGAATCCAGGCACTTAGGCTCAGGATAGTGAACCAATAGCCCAATAGACTGGTTCGAAGTAAAGATCTTAGATCGTCAGGTTTTGGTATATACACACTTAATTGTGATTTGTGACAGAAGTCTCTTCTGTATCAAAGATTCTAGTTGTTGCAAGCAAAGCCGAATCTTGATTTTGTCCTCAGTGTCATTTTCTTGACAAAATGAGAGTAGGGATGAGAATCAGTGTTTAGTCGAGAATCTTCCAAGTAACCAAACCATCTAATCTCCCTAAACCTTATATTGTTTCCAATTATAATTTGCTGGTTTATTTATTTATTCATTTTTATTTGTGCTAAGAAATGAAAGGAAAAAAAATATGAAATTTATGGATCTTGTTAGGCCTATATGCCTTGGAATCTAAAAAAGAAGTGGAAGATTTGGAGGAATTTCGTTTTTAATGGTGTAAAAGGATAAAGAACAAAAGGACTGACAATATTTATGTTTTTATTGTTTCTTACATTTTCATAGCAACCAAACAAGGAATTGTCAATTGTTTTAATGGATAGTAATTTCTTTTTATTTGATTTTATGTACAGAGAATTGAAAATTTCTTACCCAAGAGACTTTCTTCTTTTTTGGCTGAGTTAGATACAAGTATAGAGTTAACGCAGGGGTTTGATAATTCGATTTTGAGCTATGTTTCTGGTTTTGAATGCTTAGATCTGTTAGTTTGTACATTTTGGGGGATGCTTGACTCTAAAACTTCTTGTTTGATTCTTGTCATTTTGGAACAAAGAATTTGGTGACTGTTGGACAATTTGTCTCAGCCTTGTCATAAATCTGGCTAGTGAAATTCTTTCTTTGTTATGAGAAGAGAAACATGGATGGTGTTTCGTCCTTGCAGACTCGTTAATATGTTGTCTTTCTTATCACCTAGTAAAATTAACAGAAGACAACTTGTTTTTCTACTAATGGATGATGATATGAAGCTAACTTTGTTACCCTTTTAGTTGTGATGCGGATGACATAGTAGGGACTTTTTTCTAGTTTGTATAGAAACTGCAATGAGATTAATGATCTCGTCAGAGGAAAAACTAATTGATGCTGGACCAGTAAAAGGCAAGACCTAGTTAAGGTTACACTTTTTCATGTAACTCTGGGTCAGAGTCTGGTGAATGGCTACCTGGTGGAAGACCTAGTAGCATAGGAAGAAGTTAAGGTATGTAATCCGTTACAATGTGTACACGTTACATTCAAGTAGAATCCATTTAAGTCTTCCAAATTTATGGTGGACTAGTGGTGGTGGTGAGGTATAGCTTGTTGGCTAGTTACAAATAATTCTCCTGAGTGAATTATGAGGTTGAGGCACCATATAGTGTTTTTTCCCCTACCATGGTAATTCCACTTTGTCAAAGCTACCGAATAAACTTGTAAAAGGCATAAATGTGGGGTGCTTGGTAATTGGATTCGCAGTTCCATTTTTTGGGAGCTTTTGCTCGCTCAACAACCAAGGTTAAGATGCCAGTGATGGTAGTATTGTTGCTTGCCCTGTTCTCCTAGATAAGTATATATATGCGGTATAAAGTGGCAAGAATTTATATAATCATTGGAAAATATGGCATACTTCATTTTTGTCTCTTTCTCCTCTTCATATTGTTTTTATTTAATTGTTTCTTGACTAATTAATTCAAAAGCGGATAAACGATCATACTTCTTCATGTAACTCTGGGTCAGAGCCTTGTGAATGGCTACCTAGTGGAAGTTGAAGCTTGTTAAATTGCATGCAGAAACTGGCACTGTTCAGGGCAATCCACATTTTTCCTCATGGTGAAATCATGAAGAGGGACTTCTGGGTAGTGCTGCTTTTGCAATAATATCTAGATGTTCAATTGGAACTTCAGCTCCCACACTCCAAGGCTGCAGTTTCGATCTACTCAACAGGGGTTCTGAGCCATACAGATCTCCTCACCTCTTTAAGGTATGGTTAATTTTTGGATTTCATTTAAAAACCAGTATATCAGTATTTTAAGCTGTTTCATTGTGATTATAATTACGAAGAGAATGCTGTATAATGCTTCTTTTCCATTTTTTTTCCTAGTCCAGATAGAGGCAAATAAAGATCAAATTTATCAATATTTTGAAGAATTTGTTTGTGGACTAAGAATTCATTCGTGAGAGAAGAACCCTTGGATTTAAATTCTTACCATAGACTTTTGATTGCATAATAAAGATGCAAGAGACATGGACTTGTGGCTTCACCAATGAGACTTTTGTAATATCCATCGGAGCAAAGTTAATAACGAGCATCAGCTTATTCAAAGTAAAACAGAAAGAGAAAGAAAATTTTGAGAATCTCATCCCTGCCAACAAAGCAATCCGAAACAAATTGTGTAATTTGTTAAAGCATGAAAATAATGAAGGCCTTTGTTATAGAATGAAATCTTTAAAAGGCTTAGCTAAAGTATCATGTGACAAAGGTCCTACCCCTCTAGATAGTAAGGAAGACCTTATCATTTGTTGAAGAATCCAATACAAAAAGATGTAAACTTTTTTGTCACAAGAGCAATAAAAAAAAATAACATCAACCATTACGTCATAAGATTCTTTAGAAACAAGATGTAATCTGTTTAATAAAATGTAATCTATTTTGTTAAAAGGTAAAAAATAAGTTTTAACCACTTAACATTAATGTAAAACTTTAAGCATTAGTAATAACGTAACAAAAAATTCTAAAGAAGGCTATATAA